TTATTAATTGAAAGAAGAGTTTAATATATCAATTTATTTTTTATAATGACATTTATGCACTAAAAGATAGATGGACTCTTAAAGCTTTTAAGATAGATTTTAGCGATTTGATTATATAAAAATACTATTTTCATTAACTGTGAGTTTTATATAATAACTTTTAGAGGTTAATAAAGTGTTTAATGAAACATTATAAAATAAGATAATTTCTTTTATTTTTTATCATTTTAAATTTAATGGACAATTAAAACACTTTTGCTTTGCACAGCTATATAAATAGCCAATAGTTAATAAGTACTTACTATGTCCCATATATATATGTTTAGTTTGACTTTCACATAAATTAAGAAAAATTAATTAATATAACTGAATTATATTTTTTTTTTTTTTGTTTTTTTCTCAAATATCTTTTTATAATATTGAATGACAGATATCAATTGAGAATATGGATGTACATTAAATAAGAGTGTATAAAGAAATTAGATATTAAATGATCTTTTAAAAAAAGAAATAACACTATATATTGGGACAAACAAAAATGAAAGTATGCCTATATATATTGTCACACCTTACCCTACTGTAAGACATGGCATGTCGTGAGCTAGGTATGCCTCACACCCATGACGGATCAATTTCTGAGCTAAAGCTGCAGTTATCACAGATGAAGGAAGTATCTGTCTCTCACCCTGTATCACCACATCAGTAATCACCACATCTATATATTCTAGCAGTTTAAATAGTATCTTCTTAAAGGTCATAATCAACCATGCTTTATATTTTTTTAACCTCAATCCATGGCCAAATATAAACATCAAAATCTCCCGAAAAGCATCTCAAACTGAATCAGAAGGGAATACATGATCTTGATATATAGATGTTTATAAATCACAAACAAATATATTCTGGCAGTTTAAATAGTATCTTCTTAAGGTCATAATCAACCACTGCTTGATATTTTTTTAACCAATCCATGCCCAAAATAACATCAAAATCTCCGAAAAGCATCTCAACTGAATCAGAAGGGAATACATGATCTTGGATTATAGATGGTTTATTAAAACAACTATCAGCTATTAAAATAATTAATATTGACTAATAAATCCAAAATATTTGCTCCCTCTGTTCCATTTTAATAGCAACACAAACATTTTATCATGTTCCACTTTAAAATACTCATTTAGGATTTTGAAACTACGTTTTTTTTTTTTTTCAACTTCACCCATATTTATTAGGTGTAATTTATTTTTATATTTATATTTAAAAAGGGCAATTTAGATTGTACCATATTTTTTTAAGAAAATGAATGAATTCCAATAATTTTTTTAACCATTGTGAAAAGATGAAATATTACTTTTAAAGTGGAATGGAGAAAGTAAAAAGATAGTGATACAAGGAGTAAATTACAAATTAAATTTTAATTTAATTTTATTAAGGATATTGAAATTTTTTAATATGAAAATGTGAATAATATATTAGATATAGGGAAGACGGCTGAGTACAAGTATATAATGTATATTTATTGCAAGTGACGCCGCTAGTTTTTGTTGGCTCATCTATTGCCATTTGCATTGATGACTGGACAAAGCAGATGATGAATTGCCACTTTATTAATTATTAATTAACCTATTAAAAATACTACCAAATTAAGCTTATTTTAATTACTTAATTCCATTTATGTCGACTAATGGAAACAATATTTAAGTGGAAGCGTCTTAATTAAATGGATAAAGTTTCGAGAGATGATGTACGAAAAAAGTTTAGATGGTATCACTTCCCTCTTTTTCTGGTTATTTATACTTTAATAACTGAAATTATTTTTTTTTTTTTAGTATTTTTACGAGGAAGTATAATTGAAATGGAATTATTCTTGATATTTACTCAGCTCGAATTGAGTTTATTTTCTAAATGAATAGAGCTTGAATATGATATTTAGGCTCGTTTAATAAACAAGTTATACTTGAATTTGAAAAAATTCGGTCTCATTAAAATTCATTTAATAAATTGATCAAGACTAAAAACTTTTAAACCTCGTTTTTGTCTCTGTTCATTTACGATTTATAAAACTATAATTATTGCTAATTCAAACTCTTTTATCAATATTGGTATTCTTAGAAAAGAGTTGTTGTATTCTTTGATAATTTTGTATAACGAGATTAATCATTAATTTAGATAAGAAAAGGAAATTTTGTGATCAGAGAGAGGTGTAGATGCAACAATGTCCTTTATTATTTGGATTTTATTTTTTACCATTAAGGCTATATGATTTTTTTTTTGTTTTTCTCATGTCGAGAGGAGACTTCAAGCTGATGTATAGTTTACTGGAATTTTTTCACTTAACATTTCCGAGCTAAGATGAATGTATTGGGGAGGTTTGATGACCCGAATTTAGATGCTTGGCTATATTAAGTTTTTTCTAGACTTTAATAATAAAAGAAATTTTTGCTGATAAAAAAAAAAAAAAAAGGAAATTGTGTACAGTATGTTAGATTTTGGATACTACCAACTTAAGTTTGCTCACTGAGTTGTGAAAATGATTAGGAAAAAGATTTAGCAATAAATATAAAGGATTATTGCTTCAAAATAAGTAATGACAAATGAAGTCAATGTTCTTCAGATTCAACATCTATAAAAATACAATATTTTTATTCTATATATTAATAGAATGACAATATGCATTTGTTTTTTAATATTGAAAAAGGGAATCAAATCTAGAACTATAGCCAGGTTCTAAATTCACTTACCACTAAGTTATATCTTGATATACACAATATGTATTTTTTTAATAATTATATAATTTAATCAATTATATTTTATAATTAGACAAATAAATAGAGTAATAATCAATATCTTTTTTCATAACTAGAAAGTATTTTTGTTGGAATATTTTTAAGATATATAATATATGTACACATTTTCTAAAGGGAATTGGGAAACTAACTTTTGGCATATATAACATTATTCTATTCCACAATCAATATGCTTATATTTACAATTGATTGCGTGTATACATCAAATTCCAATTTAGATTTAGATTGTATAATACTTTCAACTCACAATATCAAGAAACCAAATAAGAGCCTTAAAAATTAATAGATTTTCAAAGTGGTTGACTAGACAAACTTTTTGAATCTTATGTACATGATCTAATATCTATAAACTAGTTGATTATGATGAACATAGAGGATTTGAACTACTAAATCTAATAGAGGAATGCTGCACTACCAGGCTCCAAAATATAAAGATTGCCGTGTTTAAAAAATTCTCCACAAATTGCACACATGTCCAAATAAATCAAAACAAATACAAGAAAATAAATCAAATACTCCACGTAAAATAGAGAGATCACAAACTCCACCTACGATTGAGATAAACCATAAAATATAGAAAAAATATAAATAACTTAGATATGTTCTAAATAAACATAAATCTGTAATTTATTTTAAAAAAAATATAGAAATTTTCAATAAAATAAAAAATAATAGGAACAAGCTGTCATAAGAGGTAGAAATCAGCCCATTCGTATATCTATATGCTTAGTTTTTATGTTTCGTTTCAGTGGAGAAAGGAAACAAAATTTTAAAGAAGGGAGAAGGGAGAGAGATTGGTACCTGAATTTTCCTTTTTAAAGAAAATATAATTTCACAATATATGGGCTCATCTCTACTTTTTCTTTCAAAAGGATGGAAAAATCAAATTCATATAAAAAAATAAATATTTTAACGATTATGATAAAATTAATACTCTCAGTTATAAAGTATTTAGACAAATATAATATTTTTGATATTATGATTTTAGGAGGTCATATGTATTAAATAATTTTTGAAATATTAATTGGTTAATTATAAAATTTCAAAATTGCATTAATACTTATGCATATATTTATGATGCTTGTAGATTAAACAAGTAAAATATTTTTAAACTAAGGATAACAATATAATTTAATGTGTATATTTTTTTTTCAATTTTCCCATAGTTTAATCAAATAAAGTTATCTTAGTTTTTTAAGCAATTTTTGTTCTCATGCAAACAAAATAATTCAGTATTCTTATAATTATTTTTCTAGAAATATATTTTTCATAGAAAAATAGTTTTCATATGAATGTGGAATATTAAAAATTTCCCCTACTATAAAAATAAATTAATAATATTCAATAATATTTAATATTATATTTATAGATGTATATGTGTAAATATAATAAATTAATGTTAATATTTAGGATTATATTTTTCTAATGATCCATGTGCTTTTAAGGATATAAAATATGCTATTTCAAAAATTTTATTTGAAAGGGTAGGTTTTTATAAGTACTAACTTGAAAATATCATATTCAAATTAATACTAATATTATTTTAACTAAATTAATCTTGATTTCGGGCTAATTAATTTGACATTATGGAGTCATTTTCTATATTCCACCTAATTAAAAATAAAATTTTAATCAAATTATGATTTTAAAAAATATTAAAAAGATGAGAAAAATCTATAATATTAATAGGCACATTTATATTTTATTTTTTTTGCAAAAAATTTATGATAAATCAATTCCATGCAATAAATTTTCAGAAGCATATTCCATGTGCTCAATTACCTTAACCACAAACTTCACTCTTAGACCTCATCTTTAGGCCTACAAAACAATATTAGTACTGAGTGGTCCAATAAAAAAGTGACAACGCACCAAGTCAGCAATTCACAACAAAGTAATCACCCACACCAAATCCACTTCCTAATTTCCTTGTCTATTTTCTTTTTTTTTTTTAATACTATTTTCTACCTTATCCCCAAAATTTAGAAATCTGACATCATGCTTTAATACTATCAGATAGCCCGCCACGTGGCAAAACCCATCTAGCCTTGAACATTTCATACAAAAAGAAAGAGGCCATGAGGGGTTTATGGTGACCTGCTATTGCCCGAACATTAATGGCCTTTTACCGGCTGGTCCGGTTTTGTGGTCAAAACTTTATAAAAAGATATAAGGGAGGTTTAAGCCACTGTTTTTTGGTGGTTTTTTATAGAGAGAGAAAGAGAGGGAGAGGTTTTTGTGCTTCTTTTTAATGTCCTCTCCATTTAGTTAAAATCATTTTCAAGAGAAAATAAAAAAATAAAAGAGAGAATCTTGAGAGAGAATTGAAATGAAAATGAATTGATTGAATTGTTCTTGTTCTTTTTTTCCCCTTTAATTCCTTTGTAATTGGATTTTTCTTTGAATTCTCCGATCTTGGATTTCCATTTCCATTTCAATTTGTAAAGCAGAGCAAATAATTTTATTTATTTATTTATTTGGGTTCTCTGTACATACCGTGTAGATTTTAAACTGAAGATCAGAGAGAGTCTGAGGTGAGTAAAATCAAATTCCTTTTTGGAATTTGAATTCATTTTACTTGAATTGCTGTATTTTGTTGCAATTTTGTTTGTTGTGAATTATGGTTGAGCAAGTTGAGATTGATAGTGAGGTGTGGAATTGGAGATCACGAGGAGTTTTGAGTTTAAGTGAAATGTTTTGCTGAATTAGAAATGGAGATCAGGGATCCGATCGTCGAAGTTGCGTGGCCAATTGTGGGAACCGGAATTCTCTAGAATTTGAGATCATAGTCATGATTTGAAGTTAGTTGATTGGGGTTTAAGGGAATCAGATGCGTTTCTATTTTTGGTGGTTTATAGAGAAATTTCCTAATGGATTTGAATTTACATGTTAGAAGGTTTCAAATTCCGGAAATTCGGTCGATTGGGTGTGTAGATTGGGTTTTTTGGCCAATTCCTGGTTTTGGAATTATCACCTTGAATTATATTACAATTCCATATGAATTGCTCGATAAGTTGGGTTGGTTATGATTGTGAACTTCTGAGTGATCTCTATTGGGAATTTTGGCATCTCAAAGTTGATATTATAATTCCAGTGGGAAATAGATTTGGTTTACGTTCCTGTGAATGCTTGTAAGGAGTTACTCTAATTGAGTTGAGATTAAAGTTAACACTTTTTATTTCTAATTTAGTTCTAATTTCTTAGAACAATTTATTATGAACACGTCTCTTTTTATCCATTTGGCTGAACATTCAGTTCCTTACCGCATCCCATCAGATCCTGTCAAAGAGGTTTTCCAAAAATGTTTACCTCACATTCTGCTTGTCATAGAACAATAATGTATAGAATATAGATCTCTGTTTTGGTGGTGGATGGTGGGCCAGCTATGATAATTATTCTTTAAAGTCTTATGAATTTTCATGGTCTATGTAAATTTATTTAACTACTGCTACCCATCTATCTCTTAAAAGCAAATGCCAATTATTATCATATCAACACTGCTATCTGAGTGCATTGCATTATTTCTCATTTTTGATTGATGTTAAACGTTCCTTTTTACTCTTATACCATGCAATTCCAGTGAAGTAGTTATATTAGTTATATTGCATCTATAATTGGCTGATTTAGCTGTTTTTCTCTTGCGGATTTGGTAACAGTGAAGGAATGTTGGCAGTGTAATTGTCATGTGTGCTTAAGATATGGTGCTGAAGAAGAGGCAAGATTATGGTTTTAATGGCTTCCATGTACCCTTCATTCCCAGGGCTCCTAGATCAGCTAGAGTAAGTACCCGTTGCACTTTCAGATTTGCCTAGCTTTTTAATTTCTATGATTGCTGAATACACTCGTGACCTTATCTCCTGGTTATTGGTTCCAGCAGAGGGGTCTGCAAAAGAAAAAAGTTGAAGACAGTCAAATATGTGCATTTGAGTTACTCGCAGCATTAGCTGGCAAACTATTGCAGGAGAGTGAAAGTTCTGCTTCCAGCAGTGCTTCTGAAACAAATGATCAGCCTGCAATTGGTGATAATGGTATCAAAGAGGAGCAAGATAAACCACTTAAAATTGAGTGCCTTGATCAGGGAAGCTGTGAAGAAAGTGTCTTTATCCCTGAGTTCACTGCACCAAGCAGTGATAAGAAATTCCTTCTCAAGGAATGTCCACGTGCTGACAGTGATTCCATTCTGGAGCGCTCTTCAATTATCACAAATTCTGATTCCTCAGAGAAAGCTAGTAGTGATGTGAAGTCGGCAATTTGCAAAAGCAAGAGTCCATGTGATGATTTACCTTGCAAAATAGAGGGAGGCTCTCCTGATTCTGGGGAATATGGTGATGGTTATGTGGAAAATGGATTCAGCCAACAGCAAGAGGCTGATGGCCTGGGGACTGGGGGTTTGACTATTGATAACACATCCAGTTTAAAGGATCCCATGGAATTGTGTATGAAATTTCCTGCGCTAGTCAATTCTGAGAACAATGTCAAATTGACATCATGCAGGAACTCTGTTCCTAATGCTTCTAGTTTAAGGCTTAGGAATAGTATTAAATTAGGTATTAAAGATGATGACGAAAACTTTTCTAGGTATAATAAATCTGGCATCAAGCCAAGGGCATATAGGTATCAATCCCGAATTGGGGACCGCAGAATAAGAAAATTACTGACATCTAAATACTGGAAAGTAGCTCCAAAGTTGAAGGACTGTGAGCTTTCCAAAGTTGGTAAGAAGCTGTGTGATTGTTCATTTATATTTTGCCTAGTCTACTCGTGTTATTCTTATGGAGATTGACATGATTATTCCGATACTTGTGGCAGCCTTTTTAGATGGGGGAATGAAGCCTCTATATCGCAAGCGGAAAGTATGTTATGGTCGTGAAAGATACCAACATGACACACTTTATAAGAAGAGGAAGTTTCCTGACCATAGTTTAGTTGTTACATCTGATGGAGGGTTTAGCAGTGAGAGTGTATGTAATTCACCTGAAAAGAGCAAGAATGTGGACAAGAATATCTCAGCTCCAGTGTTTCATGGAGGTACTCATTACTTCATTTGTGCTAGGTTTTTGTTGCTTATTTATACTTTTTCTAAATGGTTTTAGTTACTGTGCCAGCAAATGGAGTATCATCTTCAATTATTGGTCATCATGCTTCTTTCCATTCCAAGGATTCTCATGGTACTATAGCAAGATCACTAGTGTTCAATTGATGTCTAATTGTTGATACGGTTTGGCTATGTCAATTTACATCATCCAGAGGTATCTCATAAATTGTTCATTCTCTCTACAGTGAAGTTCAGCATCAAGTCCTTCAGGATACCAGAGCTTTTTATTGAGGTCCCTGAAACCACAACTGTTGGTTTACTGAAGGTATAGACATTCAGTTCTGATAATAGTAAATGTACACCTCACCCTAGATATCAATATCCCGTAGCTTTTCCCTGTCTAAGGGTTGCTTTTCTATTTTGCTATTGATAGATTATTGCCCAATGAATGTGCTTGTGTATAAACTTGTTAATGTTAAAAACATTCTATAAAACTGACATTAATAGGCATTGACATTTTAATATTAGTTTTTATCTGCAAGCCATTGTTGATTATGTCAGTAATTGCTGAGTTCCTGATTTTGTACTATGGTGTTATATGAATTTATATAGAGGACAGTTATGGATGCTGTAACTGGTATACTTGGAGGTGGATTGCGTGTTGGCATGCTTCTTCATGGAAAAAAGGTTAGGGACGATAACAGAACCTTATCGCAGACAGGTATCAGTTCTAAAGAGAATCTTGATACTTTGGGTTTCACATTGGAACCTGGTCTGTTGCAAACTCCAACTGTGTGCACTGAAGATTCTCCACTTCCATTACCTTGCAATAATTCTCAACTCGCCGTAAGGTAATCGAAATCTGCATTTTAATTTTTGTGTTTATTTTTGCTGAGGTTAGAATGTGTTTTGTGCATTTATGGTGGACTGTAAATTGGGCTGGATAATGTTTTATATTGATTTCAGCTTAATTCAATTAGTTGCTTTGTACAGTGATATTGCTACAAATTTGTGTGATGCTTGACATATTTTTCTTTATTTCCAGGTCGCCCACTGCTCCTGTTTTAAATTCAGGAAATTCTGATGCCCCACCTGACCCTCTTGCACTGACTAATTCAGGCAATAACCTTGACAGTAACCACGAATTAATTTCCTCCCATAATGACAAATTAACTGACAAAACACTGTCAGATTCTAGAGCTTTGGTTGCAGTTCCACCAGTGAGTGTCGAGGCACTTGCTGTGGTTCCTGTTAACCAGAAAGCTAGGCGATCTGAACTTGTACAGCGTCGAACTCGGAGACCATTCTCCGTCTCAGAAGTAGAAGCATTAGTGCAGGCAGTTGAGGAACTTGGAACTGGAAGGTGTGATGTTGTTTGCAGCTTATTTGTTAATGACTCTCCTGTTTCGTAAATTGTACTTGGAGGGTTGATAATGTTCTCATTTTACAGGTGGCGTGATGTTAAGTTGCGTTCTTTCGAAAATGCAGACCATCGAACTTATGTGGACTTGAAGGTAAATATTTTTTTTTTTTTCTTTTCATAGAAACAATTCATTTAAATAGAGGGTATCAATGTAGTTTTGGGGTTTACTTGAGAATTGAAGTTGGATTTCTTTCGGGGAGGGAACCTGCCATGTTCATGTAACATAACTACGATATTTGAATGCTTTTGTGCCTAGTTTACTAGCTAGATACGTTGCCTTCGCTTGTGATAAACTGCAGTAACCTGACTCGCTGTGAACATTGCATTTGAATGAATAACTTATTACTTTCTTTCTGTTGTTAATTGTTATATGCAACTTCATTCGTGTGCATCAACATTAAAATTCTTGACATGTAAACATGATTTGAACTTTTTCCATCTCCGTCCTATTCACCCGACCCCTGGTGCTTAACTGGTATTATAAGAATACTTGTACTCCTTACAGTTGCATGCTTCATCCATGTAAATCAAGTAACTATCCAGATTAAACTTCATTTCTCAGGTATATGGTGTTTTTTTTCTTTTTTTCGCAGGATAAATGGAAGACGTTGGTTCACACAGCTAAGATTGCCCCACAGCAAAGACGGGGTGAGCCAGTGCCGCAGGAGCTCTTGGACAGGGTCCTAGCAGCTCATGCATACTGGTCTCAACACCAAGCAAAGCAACACGGCAAGAATCAAGCTGGTGTTTTGAAGATCACGGAGGGCCATGCCGGTAGAAATGGAGGTGGAGGTGAAGGTGAAATTCACTTGTTGTGATTGTAAAAAGAAGGAATGTTGTTGACAGGATTCTCACAGGGAACAAGAAACTTGTACAAAATGATTCAAAATTTATGTAATATTTCTCACTCTCACAACGATTCATTGCCACCTTCCCTATGTGGGAAGGGTGTGGCATTTGTAAATGATTCGATGGAATAAAGAAACACTGCTCTAACAGAATTTACAGTGTTTTTTCTAATTCATTGATTTAATTGATGTAATGTAATACAGATAGACAGCAGAATCCAAATAATAAATATAGCTTTCTTTTTTGCCTTTTTTCAAATGTCTGTTACTTGTTCATTGCTTACTGTTTTCTCATTTAGATAATTTTCAAATTTGCTAGCTAGACTCTTGTATTACTACATTAGCCAGTTTATTTATTTTATTACTATAAGCGATTTACGAGCACTTATGAAACCAACTCGAATTTGACTTGGAACTGAATTTGAACTTAGCTCGTTTACAATTTATATACAGTGACTTAGTTTATAGATCTGAACTTGAACTCAAATTTGACGAACTTGAACTCAAATTTGACTCATTCGATAAATATAATGGGTTTATACGAGTTTTTAATTAGTTGACTCATTCACGATTTTAAAGAGAAGGGAAAGCCAATACGTAGATTTTCCTCGTTTAATTTTTAACGAAGTGTACAGCCAATGATATAAATCTGAGCTTGAAAGCTAAGGTTGGTTAATTCCAAAAGAAAGCGAGTGAAAGCATTTTTATATATATAGCTTCGTTTAAAGCACGTAACCTCTTACCTGCATCTGCATGTGATAGCCAACAAACTTTTCTGCATCTGCTCTGCGTCTAAGACTTTTAATCAAAGTCTTTTGCTTTCAAAATTGGCTAATTTGGTACATTTCGTCTACCCCAAGTTTTGAAATACTCTCTTTTTATTTTTTTACTATTTAATTTATCTACTTTTATATATAACCGACGGTTTCCATGGCACGTGCTCTTTACATTTTTTTATTAAAGTTTATTTTATAACCCCCTAATCAACCGCTATTCCAAGTTCTGTTCTCTTCTTTTTCTTTTTTCTTTTCATTTTCACATTAAACCATGTACAAATACATACCAAAGCTTATTATGTTAGCCATGATGAATTCTATTTTTAGACGAATTTTATATAGAAAATTAAAGATTTAAAATTCGGAGTAGTCTTTTAATTATAACATATGAATTTTATGAACATATATTATTTTGTTAATAAGTAAAATGTGATAAATGATAATCTGACCAATAATTTGCTTGCCTCTTATTTATACATTTTTAGGATTAGGGTGTGAAATCTGGATCTAACCATGTGCGTGATCTCTAATGGAATCTTAATGATAAGCCACAAAGTTGGATAAAATATGTTATTTAAAGAAAAGAAAAGAAAAAATATTCTCTTTTATATTATTATTATTATTATTATTATTGTTTTATATGATGCAATGTTTTGATTGGTTGCCTATCCTGCACTCAGAACGATGACGTTGTGGTTTTATGTTGGTGGTAAAAGATATGTTGGATTTTTGTTAGAATTAGATTCAAATCTTTGCCTTTTTGTTAGCAAGGAAAAAAAATAATTTAAAAAATTTATTATAAGGACCTCTAATTGGTTTAGTTAATTGTTTTCTTATTTTAGAGTTTTGTCTATTCAATATTTTGAAATATATTTCATTAAATTTTTTTTTTATTCATTAGGAGATTCAATGGACTAAAATAACATTGCAGGCTATATAATATGAGTAGTCATCCCCTTAATTCACCAAATTGATAAAAACTATTGTGATTGAGATAACTCAAATTCAAAACCTCTCACCTTCTTGTATGAGTGAGTATGCCAATTAAACCAACCCATTTGACATATTTATTAATTAACATTTTTATTAATACACCCCAAACTCATGTCTAACAATGAATGGATCTATGAATTTGACAAAAATCCCAAAATTTGAATTTTCCTTCCACTCTTTCTTAATATTTTTATTAAAAAAAATCCCTTATTCAAATTTTATCAACATTATTAATCTCATAAATTTCTTAGAATAGTCTCAAAGGAGTTTTTTTAAGGAAGAAAAGGAGTTCAATATTTATTTATTTCTATTGATTCATTTTCACTTATTAACTCAAGGTTTAATTTTGAATGTATGGAGAGTCTGTTGGCTCGAATTTAGTATATTGGATTTGATTTTTTTTTTTTTTTTTTTTTTTTTCTAATATAATAAAATATTTTTTGGATTGCTAAAAAGGAAATTTTTTTTTTTTTTTTTGGTTTTTCTAATATAATAAAATAATTTTTTGATTGCTAAAAAGAAAACTATTGATTCAGCTTTTAGTATATGTGGGGCTTTAATAGGAAATCTTGCTAAACAACATATTAATATTCATATTATTTGCTAATTGAGATTTGTCACATCATTTAATATTTTGGTTTTGAACTAGTAAAAATTTTATGGATTTTGGCATAGTTAAACCTAAATCTATTGTTTGTAAGGGTTTTTATAACCATCATTAATTTCTTGATATCTAAATTAATTGGTGCTTGATTTTGATTTGAGATCTAATTACTTTTTTAAAAAAATAATACAAATTGGACAAATTTATGTTAGTTTGACGAATAATTTTTACAATTCAAACTTGCTAATATTGGAATTCTCATTTGGACCTTTCAATATTAATTATTAGAGGTGTAGTTTCCCAATTGGTGCAAACACATAATTATTAAATTTTTTATGTCATTTTCAGAAATTGACCTGAATTAAAAATAAAATTAAAGAATAGTAATTGTGCAACTTAGACACATCAACAACTCGATTATGACTAATGACTGCATTATATAGTTTTCTATTGTGTTCATATTTGAAGGATTTGAAGGAAAATAGAGACTTGAGCTTTTGGTTATATATATGCATTTAATAAATAAAAAAAACAAATATCTCTTTAATATATATTGAAAAATTATTTTAAAAAAATTAATTATCATAATTTAAACGTGGAATGTTTTATACATTGTGAGATAAACGCTGGATTAGTTGGCTTACCAAATGACTTCAACTGCTTATTTGGTTGTGTAAGCAATGACTTTATGGTACGAATAAAGCTTTATTATTATATATTTTGTAATTTTTTTATTTTTTATTCTCAAAACTAACAAAATTATAATTTTATTTTAAATATAATATATTAGGATTTCATTAAAATCTTCAAATTGATACAAATAATACAGGAAAGACGGGATCTCTCTCTTGAATATCAAACATAAAATAAAACCATTATAATTAAAATAATTATTATTCGTTGATCTAATAAAAAATTTTAATAAAAATTGATAGATATTCAAAATGATTGGGTAGACGAACTTTCTGAATATTTTATATATAACTTAATTATTTAGGAATTAAAGTTTACGATGAATATAAAAAATTTGAATCATTAAATACAATGGAGGAACATTTGGTATCACTAGACTCAGAAAAATAAAAATCAACATCTATTTAAAAAATTCTCCACTAATAAAGTTATAATTTTTTTTATTTTTTTGACCATTTAATAGATTTATAACTAGCACCATAAATCTCAACGATGAAAATCAAAATGCCAGTGTTAGCCCATTTCAAACAGAAGTGGGTTGGGCCCAGTTTTGTCCTCATTAGATAGAGTGGACCCAACTAATTTGTCATGTTTAGTCTACATCCCATTACAATGTCTGAAGTTTGACTAGGATTGTCCTGTCGGTTGGTTTGTCATCGAAACAAATGGAACTAACCGAAATAAGAGAAATATAAAAGTAACCGAACTGGATAATACATAAAATCAAAATTGATTTGATTTTATCGTTTCAAATATATGGATTTCATAAAAAAGTTAGAAACCAAATTCCATTTGAACCGGTCAAAAACCGGGGCAACAAAAACTAAAACCGGAATACTTTGATTCTGATTCTATCCGTTTAAAAAAAAATCTGGTTATTCCAATTCCAATATAATAGTCTATTATTATTATCTTATGGAATATTCTAAAAAATAAATAAATAACTTTTTTTCACGGGGTAATCGGGTCAAAATTGACTTGCGTGGCCAAGACTTATCTTCTCATGTCTTGAACGTTCTTGAAGGATTATTTAGGATTCAAAAAAAAAGAAAAAAAAAACAGAAGAGTATGGTTTATTGTCAGTACAGTATTATTAAATGTATATTCAATAGCTAGTATTATTAAATTAAACATGCATTTATTAAATAGTTCTGACAACAATTCTTGATAATATATTATTAATAGCATTGTCAGTGCAGCTTTATTGTCCAAAAACATGCCTAATATTCCCTAGATTTTAAAATAAGTATGGTTTTTATAATTTCAAAATTCCGTTAATCTTTTTTTTCTAATATACTCTTATTTATTTAATATTCTTTTCTATGTCTCAAAATGTAAGTTATTTAAAATTTTTGCATAAGGATTCAGGAAACAATTAATTCTTCTAGATTATAACAAAACTAAAGGTAATTTGACTGATACTTATAAAAATATTTATTATATTTAATATAAATAAGGGTAATATTAAAAATTTACTCTTAAAAATACTCAAAACGACTTATATTTTAGAATGCAATAATCACCTAAAAATAACTTATATTTTAGACAGAGAGAAATATAATTGCCCTCAATTGCTTCCTTCAATTTAATTGGAAGGCAAAATAGACATTTATAAATTAATTTTTATAAACTTAAACTCTTAATTGTATTCTTTAATTCCTGTGTCAGAACTAAAAAATTATACATATTTTAAAATGGAGAGAGTAATTAATATCATTTAGAATAAAATATAACAATTATATTACATAACATAGTAAATTCATATCTCAAATAACATAAACTAAATTTGTTCAATTGTAATAGTGAAAAACATATAATAAATTATTACAAAATATAAACATAAATGATAAACCCTTAATTTTGACAAACATATTTATATCTTTGTGTTGCTCTATTACCGTTTAAAACACTATTTTATTTCCAATAAAATAAAGAGAAATTTTGACTTTCCTCAAAATAATTTTTAATAATTAACATTGATACTTGAGCTTGTGGCTATTAGAATAGCTGTGATAAGAACAAGAAGACCACGTCAGTACAATGTATTGATTTTGATGACATGAGTTTGTCCATCTCGTGACGATAATGTTCAGATAATTTGCTGGTATTATAAAATTATACTATCAAACTTTCATCATATTTATTATATTTAAAAAATAATTTATTTCAAAATATTTATAATATTTGTGATTTTAATCGGTAATAATTTTTTTTTCATATTTGTCTTAATACGATGAATAATTTTTTTAGAGAATTAGTATTAAATTAATGATAATAGTCAATTTATTTAATAATTTATTGTAACTTAGACAAATTAATGATTTTCTTAAGAAATGTGAAATTTCATAAGAAATTTCAAATGTGAAAATTATTATGAAATAGAAGTAGTATTTTTTTTTATTGAGATAAATGCTATATTTAATTTTTAGATTTGGCTTTAATTATTATTTATTAATTTTATTAAATTATTTAAAATAACTCTCTAGTAAAAATATCATTTTTTTATTGTTAAATTTTGGGTATATTTTGACAATATTAACTATTTTAGTAGTTAGTAATTATCATATTAGCTGTAGTTGTTTATACAACGGTTTAAATTAGAAGTATTTTTTTAAAAATAACTATTTAATTAGCCATTTGATTTAAAATGATAAAAAAAAATGATATTAGATGTTTAATTAGCTAAACTTGAGGGAAAAAATGAGTATAATTGTCAAAAAAAATCAACTAATCTTTGTGAACGATTAACGTTAGAATATTTAATATTTCATAAAAAGCTCCTTAAGCTCTCTATTGATTGCTATTGTTCAGTAACATAATTTTTATAGATTAAAGGAGTTTTTTACGAAACGTTAAATAATCTAATGTTTGATGTTTAATAAGATTAATTAAGTTTTTTTATGAATTATACCTGTTATTTCTTTCATCAAATTTAACTAATTAAACAACTAATATCTTTTTATCGTTTTAAGTTAAATAACTATTTTTATGGAACATTACCTTAGCTACCATTAGTAATAGCTGTTAATCTTTGTGAAATGCACAATTAACACAAATAGAGTGTTAACTTAGTCGCAGGCTAAAAAATAGTTTAAAAGTTAAAAGTTAAAAGTTATCCTTGAACTTACCTCTAAAAGTTTTGTCCAATTAAAAGTGTTAAAAGATAACTCAAAAGCTGTTGCTAAGATTCTCTTCATAAATAAATTAATATATTTACTAAAAAATGAGATAAGAGATGCTAATTAAGGTATTTTAATACTTTTTTCTCATCTACCAATTAAACACAGAATAACCGTTTTGAATACTATTTACTAAATTATGTAAATTTAAAATTTTAATATATAAAAAATTAAGCTTACTTTTACTGCAGACAACCATATAAGTTGAAATAAGGTTGAACATTGTCAAAAATGGTGTGCAAGTGTTTGCACCAAGGAAAAAGTAAAAGACCTTACCTTCTTCAAGTCTTTTTATTTTGTTTTATTATTCACTATCCAATATTTATTAAATAAATTCCAATCAAATTAGCATATGCAAGACAAGGTCCTGTCAATTTTTATGATATGTATCTAGAAGAAAAGCATGCATAGATTAACCCATTATGTATATATATATGACTGTGACACAATCTGATATGACATCCTTATCTCAATCAGCAGTGCAATCTTATATTGATCTGTGGCCATTGATCAATAATTAAGTTTCATTATAACAAAAATGGAAACTGTTATTTATTAATATGCCCTAATTACTCTCTGCTTTTTTTGGAAGATTGATTTACTTTTTCTTTTCTGCATATTTTATATTGGGCTATGCCAACCCAGAAGAGAGTGACAACTGAACAATTTTAAATATATAGACAAAAACATGTGTTGGTTTACTCGGCATTGATGTGGATGGGAGAGTAGAGCAAACTTTATTTTTTATTTTAAGTTATCTTCGTAATTTTTAATTCTTGCGTTTACTTTGATAATCCGGTAAAGGATTATTGTCGTTTCATTTCATATATATATATATTAAAAAAAAAGAATAATTGTACGAAAACTGTATTATATATGTATTTCTTAACTTTGCATGAAATTTAATATGCATTTCTATCATATAGCATGTTTGTTAATTCACATTTTATGATGAAACTTGAATCCAAGTTCTATTTCACATTAAACACATCATTTTTTTAAGGTACATTAAACACATTAATTGAATAGTAATGATGTTCTTAGTTATATTTATTGCATAGCTTTCATAATTTAATTATTATATAATAAGATATTTTTATATAATCTTATTTTTTTCTATCAAATATTTTTAATTGTAATAGTTAGAATCTTAATTATTAAATCATCAAATTATTATCCAACCAAATATAAAATTTATTTCAAAATCTATAATTGCTACTATCATAGCAGTGTTATCTAAATATTACCTTTTCACGTCGTGGGAAAACAGAAACTTATTAGAAAATTGTTTATTAATTTCAAAATTCAGTCATTTATTCATTTTAAAAAGCGAATAAACATATTTTATAGAAACAAAGATTTTCGCGTGAAAGAGAGAGAGAAAAAAAATGTATAAACAAAAAAGCAGAGGATAGCAAGTCCAGATACAGTTCATATATGGCAGACAACCAAAAGAGTTGAGAGGTATTGGACGGCTTAGATTTTCCAGACACAGGCACCTAAATTCACGATCGCCTCCTTTTTTATCTCTATTCCCTGTGATGCTCAAAAATATACTTCCTTTATAATTCCTGCAGGACTGGAGAGAAGCATTTCATCTCTGTGCCTCTGCCTCTCTCCCCTTTGGCTCCGTTAAGGTGCTTACCTTCAACTTCTATATTTTCTTTGTTCTGTGTACCAGAAGAAAGAGAAACCATATCGGTTGATGTGAAGGTTTTTTTTTTTTTTTTTTTTACTTAGGTTTTTTTTTTTTTTTTTTTGAGAGTCTCAAAAGACTTTGCTTTCTGTGCCCCCACCTTTTTTTTTTTTTTACATCCTGTTTAGTATAGTTCTGATTTCTTTCTTTGATCAATATTTGTACATTGATATTCGGATTTTGTAGTTACGATTAATTAAATCATCCTAATATTTCTCTTACATATAGACATATTCATTTCTTAAAGATCTCATTTTCTAACTTTTTGTGTGTACTTTTGCTGATAGGTATAAAATTCTGGACTTTGATAGTTAAGTAACAGCTGATACTTGCTCAGGGACTTTTTCTCTGGAAGAAAACTCTGAAATAGTGAAAAGCCACGGCATAATTTGAAGTTGGTGTCTTTTTGGCTTTTGGGTGTTTGGTATTTTGATTAGGGAGTTGACATTTGTAGTTTTTTGGGGTGTTGATTAGTTTAAAAAGGTTTTGTTACTAAAAGTTGATATTCTTGGATTTTAGCTGTGGATAATTTTTGCAATATAGATGGTCATGGATCAATCCTTAAACGGATTATATGGCACTGTCAATGGCTTGAAACTCAACGATGACACCCTTTCTGTTTTATCAAGTCAGAATCTGGTTAATGCGTTAAAATTGGATAACAACTTTGTCAATCAACACTATGCCAATATTCCTCCTTTGCCACCTGATCTAATACATAGTAATTCAGTTTTATCTTTGAGTATGAGCCAAGATGGGGATTCAACTGAGGATTTTGATTTCAGTGATGTGGTTCTAAAATACATTAGTGAGATGCTCATGGAAGAAGATATAGAAGGGAAAACTTGTATGTTTCAAGAATCCTCAGCGGCACTTCAAGCTGCTGAGAAATCATTGTATGAGCTTATTGGGGAGAAGTATCCTCCTTCACCCGATTATGAGTTAGTATCTCATTTAGGTCAAAACCACAAAAGGCCAGATGAAAGTCATGACTTGAATTATGCTAATTATACAAGCAGTTCAAACAACACTAGTGGTAGTAACTTAGTTGATACTGGTTGTAACTATGATTTGAGTGAGTATAGCTCCTTGAGATATGCTTCTCAATCATCTTCACTATCATCTCATAGTTCTGCGAATAGCACAGGTACTGTTATTGATGGGTTTGTGGATTCACCAGCGAGTGTGATTTCTGAGATATTTAGTGATAGTGAGTCCATTATGCAGTTTAAGAAAGGGTTTGAAGAAGCAAGCAAATTTCTTCCAAATGGTAGTTTGTTTATTGATTTGGAGAGTAATGGTTTGTTTCTTAAGGACTTGCATGATGAATCTAAGGATGCAGGTGCAGCACTTGGGATTGAGGAGAAGCAGGAGAGTGAAAAAAATCCAGATTTGTCGAGGGGAAAGAAGAATCCTCATCCAGAGTCTTTAAATTTACAGGGAGGAAGGAGTAACAAGCAATCTTTAATTTATACTGAATCAACTGTGAGTTCAGCATATTTTGACACAGTATTGCTAAACTGTTCACAAAATGATGCTCTTCGCGAAGCTTTGCAGCATGGGAAAAGTAAGAAAATGCAGCAGAATGAACAAACTAAAGGGTCTGGTGGTGGAAAAGGTCGCGGTAAGAAATCTGGAGGTAAGAGAAATGTCGTGGATTTGAGAACTCTCTTGACCCTTTGTGCTCAAGCTGTTTCAGCAGATGATCGGAGAAGTGCAAACGATCTGCTGAAGCAAATCAGACAGCATGCTTCTCCTACGGGTGATGGGATGCAGAGATTGGCACATATTTTTGCTGATGGCCTTGAGGCACGCATGGCTGGGTCAGGAACCCAGATATATGAGGCATTTATGAGCAAGCCAGGGTCTGCTGCTGATGTCTTGAAAGCTTACCATTTGTTTCTTGCTGCATGCCCATTTAGGAAACTATCCAATTTTTTCTCAAACAAAACAATTATGAAGGTTGCTCAAAATGCAAAAACACTTCATATTGTTGATTTTGGTATTCTTTATGGTTTCCAATGGCCTTGTCTTATTCAGCGTCTCGCATCTAGGGCTGGGGGACCTCCCAAGCTTCGGATTACTGGGATTGATCTTCCACGTCCAGGTTTCCGACCAGCAGAAAGGGTTGAGGAAACAGGACGCCGCCTATCAAACTATGCAAAAACTTTCAATGTTCCATTTGAGTTCAAGGCAATAGCACAGAAGTGGGACACGGTTAAAATCGAGGATCTCAAGATTGACAGAAATGAGGTTCTTGTTGTCACCTGTTTTTATCGATTAAGAAACTTACTTGATGAGACTGTAGTCGTGGAGAGTCCAAGAAGTATTGTTCTCAATCTGATCAGGAAAATGAATCCAGATGTTTTCATTACTGGGATAGTGAATGGAGCATACAGTGCTCCATTCTTTATCACACGATTCCGAGAGGCTCTCTTCCACTACTCTACTCTGTTTGACATGCTGGAAACTAATGTGCCTCGTGAAATTCCAGAGAGGATGCTGATTGAGAGAGAGATTTTTAGATGGGAAGCAATGAATGTCATTGCATGTGAAGGTGCTGAGAGGATTGAGAGGCCAGAGACATACAAGCAATGGCATACTCGAGCTCTAAGGGCTGGATTTAAGCAGCTTCCTTTGGACCGGGAGATGTTTGCTGCAGCAAAGGAAAAGGTGAATGCACTGTACCATAAGGATTTTGTGGTTGATGAAGATAGCCAATGGTTCCTCCAAGGGTGGAAGGGTCGGATTGTTTATGCGCTCTCTTCATGGAAGCCTGATTGTTAAATGTGCATTCTGTTCCACATTAATAGGCAGGATCATGAGCTTCAACATCTGGATGCTTTCCTGCCTGTATACAATGGTGGATTCTGTCATGGTTTTCTTGTCAGTGAATTTAAGGTAAATACGCATTCCTCGTGTGTGTATATATATGGCATTGTACGTGTATATGAACATGAAATTGATGATATTGTTGCATATTTTATGAGCAGGAAATTGGAAAATGGAGTTTTGGCTGCTGCTGATTGTAATGCTATATTCTTCAGGTGCAGGTACTGCTGTAGCAGTAGCAATTATATGGAGAAAGATCCGTCCTGTCTTATGTGGCGATTGAATTGTCTCTGTTATCTTGGGTGAGAATGGCTCTATAGAAAATACAATATGTGAATGCAGGAAAAAAAAAAGAAGAGATAGAGAGAGGGAGGGAAGAAACAATAAAAAAGAGACATTGGAACACTAGTTCGAGTTGATAACTTCAAAGATGTTAATCTAAATAGATTGCTTATAGTGGTTTGTAGGATTAGAGAATGATCATGAGAATTCTCTACAACAGAGAAAGATAATGTACAGGTTCTATTACCCTGACGGTTCTTCTATTTGAAATTTTTGTTCAAATATCATTTTTGCTATTATGGTTAAGCAGTCCCAACACATATTCAGCTTTTTGTTTCTCAGTATCTGGGTGTAAGCAGTCTCTATGCTGAAATGTTTGGTTTCTTTGTGCCATCAATTGTATCAATGTAGTCCTTATCAGTAGCTCTCAAGTTCCTTTTTTTCCCGGCCATCTTGTAACACGTGGGGAGCAAAATTTGCCTGTCATTTTTTTATCTGCAAAGCAAGATGATTCCTCGTTACCTAATCCACATTTAACTTTAATTTATTATAGTGCTTGTATAATGGTTCCATTAACTCAGAAGATTTAGAATCTGTTAACAAATGTTTTGTGCTAGCATGTGGAAAATCATTTCTTGAATTGAAAATTCTTATGACATGTCATAATGTCATCTAGTCATTGTTTACTAATCATTCTCTTTTTGGTTAAATCTAGTGTCAGTGCATGTTGATTAGTTGAAATACTTAATGTATTACCATAAGTTCCCCTTTTGACACCTTTTCAACATCTCTTGTACCCATTTATTCAGGATGTTCCTTGTTTCATATTCATTCACAGAAAGGACGGTGTGGAGTTGAAGTAAAATAAGACATTGTCATTTTGATAATCAGATTATATACTCAGAAATTTCAGTTATCAGGTTCCATTATGGATATCAGCTCTCAAGCGCAATGCTCAGTTGGTTTCTTGATTTTGTGGATAAGTTTTACGTTGGCAAAGGTTCTGGGCTTCTGATACACAATAGTGAAATGGAATCTGCAGAAAAAGATACTCATTACTGTAATCCATCTTGATTGGATTCTGGAATCTTATCTGATATGCTAGAAAATTACTCTTCTGACAAGATTAGGAAGGCAAACGATGCGATTAGATTTTCTTTTTGTTCTTTATTGCTATTGTTTTGATATTAATTCATTTCAGATTAGTATAATGCCAGTGACAGCAACTTATATCTGCTGCTAAATTTTGTGCTTGCTTGATGTCATGCATTAGGAACGGCTTTAATTTATAATATTATGTCTAGGAGAATATACTGAGAATATACCATTACAGTTGTATCAGGACTATGAAGTTGCCATTTTCAACCTTGGTTAACGTTTTATATTAACTAAATGAAGAAAAAAGAGAATGGCAAAGTGGGTCTATGAGGATGTCATGGATTAGGAAATGCAACAAGCAAGCAATTTTAATATGATTAAATACATAATAAACACATACATAAACTTAACAGAATACCAACTACCAACAACTATATAATGGTGTGAACTGAAGATTGTTAATAAAGTAAGAAAAAGGTATACCAACTTATATTAAAAAGTGGGTCTTTGAGAAAATAGGTTGGATTTTACTTTACATTTTTTAGATGAGGATTTCTAGTTTTTGAATTTAGGTATTCTTCCTTAAGTGGAGGGAAGTAATTAGATGGACAATTAGGTTTACTCTATGAATATCAATCAATGACCATAAAAAAAAAAAAAAAAATTGAAATTAACAATTTGTCTTAGTTTAAGTTTGGTAGGTAGTTTATTAGAGAAGAAATGAGTATGAAATATTAGTTAATTGAGTGTATAAAAGTGCACATGTTATAATTTGATGAAAATTGAATATTAAACAAAAAGGTACCAATTAGAAAATTTTCTTTTGAGGAAATTTTGTTTAGATTGAATATAATAATAATGATCATTTAAGTTCTTACATCACCATAATTAAAGTCTCCTATCAAATACTTAAGTATGAAAAATTAAATTAAACTTTTTACAAAAATGAAAAACCAATTAAATATTTTTATCGTTCAATTAAATAAATGCTTTACAATTTAATGGATCAACCAAATCATCTATTAATAAATACATTGGGTTACGTTAATTAAGTAATTAATTTAGAATGAGGTAAGCAACAAATCCATTGTCGTCTAGTCCGGTTTAGGATACCTGGCTTTCACCCAGGCGACCCGGGTTCAAATCCCGGCAATGGAATTTGTTTTTCCATTTTTTCTAATTGTTATTCTAATTGGTTCATTTTACATTTTTGTTGCGAAATTAGATGCCAAAAACCCTTCTTTGCCTCTGCAGGCTTTAGAGAAACATGAGCGGAGCAGGGGCACCAGATTTCTTCTACAGAGAAGCTCAACGCCTTGGTTATGTTGCTCGTTCTGCTTTCAAGGTAAAGCTTTTTATCCGCTTTGTTTTATTTTCTTGTATTTGATATTGATAATTCAGCTTACACTATCTATTGCTTCTTGCTAAGAACAGCTCCTTCAAATACAAAAGCAACATAAGCTTATAACGCCAGGTTCCTCTGTTCTTGACCTTGGTTGTGCTCCTGGTGCTTGGCTTCAGGTCTTTTTATTTTGTTTTTGCTGTTATCTTTCTGGGTTTTTGATTATATCTCTGTTGTTTTAGTGATTTTAAGGCAGTTCTTGGTGTTTTTATCTTTTTTAAATGATATAGTCTCATTTCAGGTTGCTTGCCAGAGCTTGGGCCCACTAAAGAATGGTGGGAATGTTGTGGGCATTGATCTCAAGGTGTGTTTGTCACTTGATGATTCTTGATTTGGTTTCAATTTTTTGAATCTCCATGTATAGTGTAAGCATCTCTTAAACTAAGATCTAGAGGTTGAAAAAAATAAGGTGAAGGTTAAAAAAACTAAGTCTGTAAATCTTGTTAGTTATGTTTGGTTGATGGATATGTGTAAACCTGTGCGATATGCAGAACAGAAGGTGAAGGTTCCTTCCTTACATTGTGATGTAAGGGTTAAAACTGTTTGTGCTGATGTCATGAACCTCCCCAAACACCAAATTAGGGCTCTTTCTCCTCAGGTATTATTATTTCGATAATGCAACTTTTTCATTTTAGAATCTATTGAGATAATAGATGCATTGTGATGAATATTTAGGTTCTGTATATTATCTTGAGATTGAAGATGTTAAGGGGTGTTTTAAAGAGGCAATGGAACTTAAGCCACAGTATACTCTTGATAATACTTTCCCAGATTAAAATAGTTCCAGTTATTTAATCAGATTAGCTCTGATGATCACCCTTATATAATATATACAAATGGAAAACCATCAATTCATATAACTATACATTGTGTCCACAGGGTCAAGATTCCAATTTAATAGCTTATGCAGAACTTGATCTTGTTCTTATTATATTCCAAGATGCCTGTATACATGATTTCAATTGTAAATGCTTGTTTTCCCCAACTTTTCAAGACTGTGTTTTGGATCGGTTTTGGATTGGTTTTTTTGGTTTATGAACACCCTTATTGAGGATTATGGACAGGGCTCAAATTGTTAAATATTCATTATGCGAGAATTTGTACTTCATCGACTTAACAAATTAGCTGCTGAATGCTTGAATCAATATGCTCCAAGTTCATGCAATTGACTGATTGTCTGAATTCTATAGTTTAGTTTCAAAGAATGCATAGAAAGAATAAGATTTGAAGCATGAAACTGTGCTTTGGCCTCTCTTGCCAATTTGGAGGTCATATTTCATAAAATGTTGAGAGAACCTGGCAAGTTTAATTATACTTGGATATTGTTGCTAATTCTAATGCCTCTTCCTCAGCATTTTCAACCTGTAGAGTGATGTATAACATCTCTTACAATGGAATGCTATTACTGGCTTTTATTTGCTATTGTTCCAACTTTCAAACTTGTTATTTCATGTGCTCTCTTTTTGTGTCTCATGCGGCTTTACTGGCTTTCATTGTGCATGCTGCAGCAGAAAGGTTTTTCTGTAATACTCTCAGATATGTGTCCCGCAGTTTCTGGGATCACAACTAAAGATGCAGCTTTGTCTGTGGAGTTAGGGATGCAAGCACTTGATTTGGCTGTTGGTGAGGCAGTATCAGCTCATCCTGATGGTGATAATAGAAGAGAGGGGCCATCAGATTCTGCCTCTGATGCTGATGATAGTGGTGTATTGCAAGCAGGGGGCCACCTAGTGATTAAGCTTCTGGAGAGTGAGAATATCCAAGGTGGGGGAATGCGATATAAAGTTGATATTTTTCGTACATAATGCATTTCCTGATTTCATTATCCGACTTTCTGTGCAGAATTTAGCCGGATTTGCAAGCCACTTTTCAAGAAGGCATCATGGTTGAGGCCCAAGGCTACAAGATCCTCATCTAGAGAGATTTATTTGATTTGCCAAGGTCTGAAATTGTAGACACATGTTTCTCTAGGTCCTCGTCTAGAGAAATTTATTTGAAATTGTAGACGCATGTTTCTCTAGGTGATTGTTTGACTGACTAAGATTGCAATCGATTGCACAAAGGTGCTATGTTTGGATATCAGGACTCCAGTCCCTTTGTGTATAATATGCTAGAATAGCATCTTTTTCGTTTTTTCATAGAGCAATGGAGATGTAATGTTCTGAGTTTCCTGTCTTTTGCCTCCACAAGAACGATTAGTGTCAGCTTGTGCCAAGGAATCATTTTAATGGTGTCAAGTGTTTGAAAAAAAAACAAGGAAGAAGAAGAGAAAGAATCATTGTATTATTATCTACAAATTACAAGAATCTGTTTTCCTTTCCTTTGTTGTTTTTCTTTGGTTCTCAATTACATAAAATTTACTATGTAACTAAATCTATATAACAGGGGTGAAGACACACTTTACAAATCCTGCCCTAAAATGCATAACACCCACTTAAAAAATTGCCACACAGGAAAAAAAACAAAAGAAATACAAATGTAAAAAAATACATAATACCATCCCCTCACTTCGTAAATTTATAGTGGCAGTGTCGAAAATTTAGTATCTCCATTTACAGCATATACTTTAAGTTGATTTTTGCAAAGAGTTTTTATCACCGAATATGAGTTCTTCCCAATGACCAAAGACCAATATCTTTACCTGGTGCCTGAAAACACAGAAAAATAGTTTAATGTTTAACGGAAGAAACTGGGCATACAAGAACCAGTAAAGAGGACTGTCTTAGGTTGTCTTGCTTACCGGAGTTTTCATCGACGGGAAGACATTCCAAAACCTGAGAGTCTCATCCCCTGCCCCAGTCACTATTGTCTGCAATTCATAATTAAAAGTTCATTACTTGATAAGTTTGCCTTTTTGTTTGAACCGCTTTTGTAATACCATGGGTTTCCTAAAGCAATTTAAACAAAAACTGGAAAAAAAAAGTAATAGTTCATGTCATGGAGGCAACATTGCATACTTGACCATCAGGGGACATTGCAAGATAGAGTACTCGCAAACTATGACCAGTTAGGGTTGCAACCTGTTCATATTCCAAGAAAAAAAATACAGATTTGGTTACCTGCATTCAATTATAGGAAAATGTTTTATCTTTGACAGTTCGAGTTAATAATACCTTTGTCAATGAGGGATATTTCCACACCATAATTTGATTCTGGGAGTAACCGTGAGTACTAACCAATTCATTCACGTTCTTACTCCATGCTAGATTGCATACCTGAAGATATTGTGTTTCAATGAGAACTTAGCTTCATCTAATAATATGTTTTCTTCCATTAGGGTTTTAAGATATGTTTCAACCCTAAAGCTATATTTCGATCCAGTAATATAATGTAATCAAATACACTGAAATATAGAGGAAAAGCAGAAACCTGACTCCCAGTGTCAACATGGTTCAATTGATGTCCATTGGTTGTGTTCCAAAAACGAATGCATCGATCTGCAGTTCCGCCTCCAGATGCAAGAAGACCACTCTGGTGGGGTGACCAAGCAATAGCCTTAACAGCAGCAGTGTGTTCTGTGAGTTTCAAAATTGGTTGCGAAGAATGTTGGTTCCATACCAGGAGCTGTGCATCATTAACATGCAATTTAACAGTCAGATTCTCTTTTGGCTTTAGACCAATTCACCAAGAATTGAGCACCATAAGAGTGCTTGATGAATTAAGGCTGTGATTTTAATACCTTATTAATCAAATATAATGTAATGTAATTAAATGCGTTTTTTCGCTTATGGCATTCCTGCCAAACTCAGACTCTGTATTGGTATAAAAAAAATTGAAGTAAATAGTTTACCTGATTATCATTTCCACCTGAAGCAAGTTCTCTGTCATCATGAGACCATTTCAAGCCACAAACCTGAAAATTGAACAGAAGGAAAAGATTACTTCATTTCTCTCGAACATTTTTTTTTCTTTAGATGAGCTAAGTTATGTAAGGTGCTAACCTCAGATTTGTGACCAACAAGCTTGCTGACAAAGTCATTAGAAACGCGAAGATCATGTTGAAGTATGTTCCTATCTCTACTTCCTGATGATAGTATGCGAGAATTCCATGCCAAGACTCCTGTTCTTGTTTGATGTCCACCCATGGTTCTCACCTTCTTGCACTGAGTTCCATCCCATACCTGCAAAAGGAATCAACATCTTCAGCATCTTTATTATATATGGCAAAATGACGCAACGAAAAGTATTACAAGACATTTAGAGCTACCTGAACTTGACCAAGACTTGTGCCGATGGATATATATGAGCCCTCCCGAGTCCATTGCACAGAGCACACACCATCATGAGGTCCTAAGTCACACAACTTTGTCACCTAAGAACAAGAAAATGAAGAAATTGTTAACGCCTTAAATACCCATTAACCTCCCTCTTTCCCCCTCCTTTATTAGTTTTCTGTAGCAGTTGGGATATTCTCGTGTCAGCTGATGGACAAAAACTAGGTCTTTTCCAGGAATAAGTCCATGGAAGCACCCTAAGCTCAACCAGTGCATTTGAGATCAACTCTTTGAGAATCAAACATGTGGAGCAAAGCTACTTGTCAACTAAGCTAATTTAGATTTTCTTTTTTCTTTGAATCAACCCAAGAGGCACACTTGGAACACAATTTTGTTTTAGACAATGTCATTATGGGAATTGGTTCTACTTCCTATGAACATATAATTGCACTATCAAAACTTACTTTGCTATTTGATGCTGTCCATAGATAAACACAAGTACCCAACCCAACGGCAAGTACATTCTGTGAGGACCAATCCACGAGATTCAAGTAGAAATCATCCTGAAGTGATGGTGCATCTAAAACCTGCAGCAAAATTAAACGTTCAACAACTAGTCTGTTTTTCAGTTAATTTGGCTCTGACGGATTCGAGCTAACAACCTCGCAGCTCAGAAGAACACTCCAATATCACAGATTCAAAGCTGATTAGCAATGATTACGCATTTCTACGAATTGGCAAAAATTTTAATAAAAAACACAAAAAAGAGCTTCACTAATATACCTTATGAGGTGTTTTGGGAACCTTTCGTGGAGGCTTAGGAGGAGTAGAAGCCTCACTAGAAACCCCACTATCAGGTCCCAAAATTGAAGGAGAATAAGGAGAATTTGGTCCCGAATGATCAGTTTTAAACCTCAACATATTCTTACTAGGACTACTCAGAGCGGACCCCCCTCCTCCTCCTTGACCTCCTGCAGGAGAAGAAAAAGAAGCAAAATCAGACCCAAATAGTTCACATTTCAATAACCTTGAATAAGCCTCATTGCCTCCTTCTTTAACAGGAGATCCTTTCTCTATAAGCCCAAAAGTGTGCAGCCTTGACGACGATCTACAAGGTATGAATCTATCACTACAAGTAGAAGACTTGGACGGTGATGATAAACTCGATATTGCTCGAGGTGATGCTACACTTGATATTGCACGAAAAGAAGAACCCGGTATCGAATCCAATCGAAGAGAAGTCTCATTCATTCCAGATGGAAGATTCAGGCCACTCTTTCTTCTCGGTGGTGATTCCATTTTTTGATTTCCTTAAGTTCTTGATAATTTTGAGGTATTGGGGTTAATGGGTTTTCTTGGATGTTGTTGATACGAAGATTGATTGAAGAGTCCTCTCTCTGTAGCAGCAAAGCGAGAGAGTGAGAGAGAGAGAGAGAGAGAGGGAGAGAGAGAGAGGGCTTCTCAATGGATAAATTTTGTATCTTTTGTTTATGTGAAGAAGATATGTAACGGTCCAATTTTGAGGTAGGAGCGGGAACTTTGGTAAAGAGAAAGAATAGGTTTGTTTGGAATTGTTTTTATATTTTATGTTAGGACAGGGTTCTAACGGTCAATTGTATGAACGAAGCTTTACCCTTGGCTTACCACTGTAGCTGAGCTGAATGTTTTGGTCTTTGTTACCAAAATAGCCGTTGTTTTGAATTCAATAATTTATTATCTATCTTTTATTTTTTTAGGCAATCTCCCTTTTTTTTTTTTTTTTTTTCCCCAGCAAAGCGAAGAAAGAGTGAGAGAGAGAGAGAGAGAGAGGAAGAGAAGAGGCTCCTCATGGAATAAATTTGTATCTTTGTTTATGTGAAGAAGATATGTAACGGTCCAATTTTGAGGTAGGACGGGAAACTTTGGTAAAGAGAATAGAATAGGTTTTGGTAATTGTTTTATATTTATGTAGGAATCATGGTTCCTAAACGTGTCAATTGTATGAACGAAAGTCTACCCTTGCTTACCACTTTAAACTTGAGCTGAATGTTTGGTCTTTGTTACCCAAATAGCCGTGTTTTGAATCAATAATTTAATTTATCTACTGTTTATTTTTTTTAGCAAACTCCCTTTTTTTTTTTGGTTGTTTTTCCAAATTAGAGCCTTTTTTTTTTTTTTTTTTCAATTAGAGGTATCTCCTAATATATGTTTATATATATATATAAAAAGGATTTTGGTTACTTCCTTCATTAAGAGAAGTAAATATTAATATTTTATAACTATTATTCTCAATTTTTCTTAAAAAAAATTTACATATTACCACTAATCATCTCTATTAAAGAATAAAGCCGCTTACTTGGTTAGAATTTTAATTAAAGAAAATAATTTAACAAGAACAAGCTTGTAACTATTCAATGAAGTGAAAGGTAATTGATTCTTAAACATATAAACAAAGTAATTACATCCGTCCATTTTATAATAAGCTTCCAACGTTTATCTCAAAATACAGGGTTCAATTTATGACCACCCAAATTAGTGCACTAATTCATAGTTTGCAATCAAATCCTTGGCTTGAAAAGATTATAAGAAGATAAGGAAGAGGTAATTATCCCCAAAAAGCCACTGGGTTTTTATTTTCCAATAGCATGAAGAAAAAGATAAAAATGAAATTTCCACCCTTTTCCGCCCATTGCTTCCTCCTATCCTCTCCAATTTGGAAGGACTCAAAGTTGTTTGCAGAGAGCAAAAGCAAATCATGGATGGTAAACAAAAGCCTACCACATCAAAAGCAAAAAGCATAAGCCATTGGAGATTGATTCACATCAAAATTTAACAAGACAATTTACATGGAAACCTTGGAACCGCTATTCATTCCCATCTGATAAAATATAGATCTATCTAAGAACAACAATTATAGCCTGTATTATGTATCAGTGTTTAAAAATGGCAGAAACAGCAAATTGAAGTCAGTGTTACTCGAGTCATTCTTTCAAAATAGGATCTGTCTAATGCCACTTCATATTAAAGAGAATCAGTTATGAAGTGCGAGAATACAATTACAGTGTGTAGCGAAATTGGTATCGACGAAGCCAATCTTCACCCTTCTCATAATAATCCATCCTACTAAATGTCTGCTGTGGGAACTGCAATCCAGCAGCATAAGTAGAAGCTCCTCGCCATGCGTCAAGAATTGGATCCAATGCTCTGACCACCTTTATAGGTGACCCACATGGGCGAATCATTCGGATTCCAGCCTCTAAGCGCTCGGCCATACCAGGGTAAAGGCAGCTCCCACCAGTCATAAGGATTGAATTAGTCAGTCTCTCCTCCAATTCTAGGTCCTTGGCCGGCAATCTCCTAATTGACACACCAGCCATCTCATCTGCCCCTGCCTGATCAATACCTACTAGGTTGGGATGAAACAGGATTTCAGGGCATCTGAACCTCTCCACCCCAAGCAAAATCTGGAAATCCTCCTTTGTCAATGGGCGAAACCGTGGGACATCAGGAGCAGGTTGTGACGGCCCTACATCTGGCTTAGGAATAAATGTTGGGTCTATTTCCTGCAATAACAAGGATCAGCATCCATACCCAAGTTGAATGATCATGCTGTAATTAAAAAAGATCAAAATTAGGACTATACATAGGAATACATAAGCTGACCTGAAGCCTAGAAGAAATACGGGTGAGCTCTAGTTCATCCTCATCCCCCACATCATCATCATCATCATTATCTTTGCTCATGAGTTTGTAAAGTTGCCAGTCTTCATCTTTGGCACCAAAAGTATCCTCACCCTTCCCTCGATCAAAGGCTGCAGTTGTTAATAGGCGCATCCTTTCCCTCTGTGCAGCATTCAATCTCTCACCGCGACCAACACCACCTGACATGTTATTTCCATTTGAGTGATTCCCATTTGTCTTGAGTCGTTTTCGCTGCTCAACTTTCTCAGAGAGTTCTTTATATTTAATACGTATCTGCTCTAAATAAAGTTCTGGGTTCTCTCTATAAAATAAAAAAAATAAAAAAAAAAATTAGCTAAAACATCTTCTGACAGTAAAGCACACGTTAGCAGTACGCAAATAGTTGTCATGTAGCAATGAGGGCGTGGGCGTTATAAAGCAACAGGCAAACCAGTGCATTCAGTAAGTAACAAGTCCAACAAAAACTACTTTCATATCCATTTATGAGAACATACAAGCGTTTTTCTTCATCTAGTTGATTTTTTCTTTCTCTCTCTAATTCTTCTTCTTGACGTTTCTGCTTTGCTCGTTGCCTGCCATCAGATGTGGTTTTAAGGAACAACTGTCTCCTCTTTTCTTTGAGCTATCAAAAATATAATGTGTGCAATGTTATTAATAATGACAATAACTACAGCAATTACACTAGAAAATTACTGGCCATTCTTGAGTTGGTTGGAAAACAATGTTGCCTAAACAATATTATAAAAGTTTTAACCTATATTATAAAAACAAAAAGAACAGCAGCTTCATAATAGCAAGGCATACAATCAGTCGATTCATACAGGGGCATACCTGCTCTGGGGTCAGCATGTTGTCTGGAATATTGACAAGAGGATATTTATCATTTGCGGAAGAATCACTTTTCTCTTCAACTTCAGCTTGTTCAGCTTTTGGCTCTCCTTTTGCTTTACGTAAAGACTGTGCTATTTTCACAAGTGAGGCTTCTATTTCCTGCTTTGAGACATATCCAGTATCTTTTAGGAAAGATGGAATTTCTTCTTCTTCCACGTGCTCGAGCTGCTGCAAAAGAAATTCCATGCCACGCATCTGATTCTCTAGTTCATTTATCCTAGATGACCTCTTTGCCTCAGCCATTTCCCGCAACCGTTGACCTTGTCTCTCCTTTATGGCTGCTTTTCTGGCAATCTCTTCTTCTGATGGAGGTTCCTCCACTGGTGGAGGAACCCATGGAAGCTGCCAACACCTGGTTTTTTCTTCAGCCTCCTTGGTCCCTTTCTATCACATAATTCCAACTGTCAATATTGAGGACTTGAAAACAGAAAAAGCAGATGAAAGACTAGCTCATCACCTGAAATAATCGAGCTTCTAAAGCATAATCTGGAGCAATATAACAATGCTCCATCTTCAGGTCTTCCACCTTTTCCCATGTAAGTCTGGCCCTGTTTTGAGCACATGAGAAACAAAACCAAAAGGTTCTATAAACGACACCTATTAGATTGAAGCCGAGCCTAGCTGAACATATACTCACATGTGATGAGGATATTTAAGTGAAAGAAGTTGCTTCAGGTAATCAGTGACATGGTATCCACCAATGTTAGTTCGGCAGCATCCTTTATAAACAGGTTCTCCATCAATAAACTGGGAGCCAAAACACAAGTTGGCATCAAGCTAGCGTAATGGGAATGGTAATCTTGGCTACATTTACCCAATTCATAATTTCATCAAAACTAGAAAATGCAGATTAGATTGAGCACGAAACCCAGAAAATTGAGCAGATTTGGGCATTGATATGAAGCAAAAATCTGAAGAATGATATCAATAGACAGTATTTCTGCAGAAATATAATATCCCGAAACAAAAGTGAACCACTACAGCAATAGCATAATTGCTGCAAGCAAAAGAAGAGAGAGAGACAGAGAGAGATGCAGTCTCTTACATTTTATAGTTGATATCTCATAATTTGTAAAAATCCCATGATTAGAAGTGAATTCTAACAACAGACGGAGATAAATAAAGCAAATAAGCATAAACTGAATAAAGCAAGTGCCTGAAGCACCTAGGCGCTTAGTGCATTGGGGGTTGGCCCATGAGCTCACTTAGGCAAATGCCTATTGCCTAGGTGAAGTCAACTTTCCTTTCCTAAGGTGCCTAGGCCCTAGGCTGCAACTTTCTTTTCTTGCCTTTGATTACACTGGTTGAAGTTTTTTCTCCCCACCTACTTTACATGTTCAAATATTTATTTATACCATTTGAGATGAAAACTTAAATTTAAATCCTTTGATTTCAGGTTCTCTATCCAAATGCAACCTTAGACAAAATTCCAGGCACAAACTTGTAGATTAACTACTTCACAGCTTATTTGCAATTGCAATCTTCTAAAGGTATTGTATGTACTCACAAAAACAAACAAATAATGATCACCTGATTCAGGAAATACAATTTATACATTTGACCTGAGCGAATACTGTGGTTTTGAAGCCTACCGGGATAACATGAGTTGTTGTAAATCCTGGACAAATAGCTAGCCCATCTTTATCACAAACCCCATGCTGCTGATTGTACTTATAGCTGAATGCAGCATCTACACCAAATGCTGCAAAGATGGTAGGGAATAAAGGTTAACTACAAGAGCCATACATATACATCAGAAGCAAAAGACTTGCCCCTTGCAGGAAATTTTCATGGAATTGACACGGCTTCTACCTACTGATGGAACTCCATAAGTTTCAAAAAGAAGCTCAGCCATTTTACTGCGTGATTGAACTGGATTGCATACACATTCTGTGATCAGGACAGGATGATCAATCTGTTCTGCCCTCAAATGAACAATAAAATCAAGAAACAGTCTTGTGAACTGATCAATGAAGCTTAAAGCTGAAGTAAATAGGTAAAGTGAAATCATGCAGCTTGTACTGCATAATTTATGAAGAACTACAAAGTAGCGTTTTTGATGCATGCATCACTAGTTTTATACAGATAGTAAATTCTGAATGGATTTTACAAGTTACAACAGATAATAAAATAATCCAAGTTATCTGAATTAGATCTAAAAAAGAATGACAAGTCGACAATTGAGCAGTAAAAGATCATCATGATTAGAAGTTTAATGACTCTAGTATCCCCTTCTCACCAATGAACAGTATGCATAGAAGCATGGATTTTACAAGAATTGCTGCAGAAGAGGAAAGTAGAAAATAGGTTGTTCTGACTAAATTAGATTAGAAGCTCAACAGTGTTTCTATACAACATGAATTAGCATGATTTAAGAGATTACTAGCTTTAACGTAAAAAGAGACCTGCAGCAGAAAGAAATTAGCTTAACCAGCCAAATTGAGCATAAATCATAATCTTTGACAATGGAAGGCTAAAATATCAAAATCTCTATTAAACTTTCCATTAAACAGGGCGTTAAATGTACCTGTGATCCATTTGCCCCCAACCGATCAAATCCAAAGTCAAGAATCTACAAATGAAAGAAGTAATCATTGAAAACCATTATGGTCACATGCCTACTCAAACAAATCAGTAATCTACACAGCTGTTTACCCCCACAAGAATCTTAATCAACTTTCCCAAGCTTGCCAGAGGTTTAAAAAAGAAAGAGAAATTAAGAAAAATCTTCACGGCCCACTAAATTTGATGTCCTAAAATAGATAACCCTCAATTTGTTTTGCATAAAAAAATTAGAGCTTTATAAAGAATAAAACTCACATATTCCATTATCTCAAACTGGTAAACAACGTTACTATCAAATGCAGAGCGAGGCCCAGAGCGAGTGCAGTCAAAATATTTCAACAATGTAGGATCATGGTCACCAACAATAGTTACAGTTTCCCCTACATATCACCAAAAAGCAAATAACACAAAATAAATCCCCAATACCTTTTCAAATTGGAAATGAAATGGTAAGCAGCAGCAAGTGGAAAATTTAGCATGAATTTCCATTATTTTCCACCCACAAACAAAGAAAAGTAGAAGAAAGTGAAAGGAAAGAGAAAGTGAAGTTACCAGTCGCTTTATGACGTGGGCGCTGAACAATGTTGCGGAAAATAACTCGAGGATCAGTCTCTCCAGCCCATCTGTTCGATTAATCACAAAAAAAAAAAAGAAGCAAAAATTAACGAATTTCGAATAATAAACTCAAATTCAAAGTAAGTATTTCGGGTTAGGGTTTAAGTTTTTGGATTAGGGGTTACCCGATGCGAAAATAGGAAGCGCCATTATCGATGACTATAGGAGTGGAAGAAGAGAAGAAATTGTAATCAGATTGTCTCTGTATTTGTGATATAAATGGCATTTCGTCCCTCTGTTTGGTTTTCTTCTTTCATGAAATGGCGAAAGAATTTAGAGGGAGGGATTTTTGGGGCCGTATAGCTCTTTCAGGAGTTTTTCTTTTGAGCTTAACTGACAAAACGAGTGAGCAAAAACAGACCATGAAAACAAAAGCCATAGTAGCAGGCGTATGGCCGGTTGGCTCGGTCAGCCTACCAAACCGGACGGTTAACCAACCCAACATCTTAGAGCCCACAAGGGGTAACAAATAAATAGAAGTCGGGAAAATTATAATCATACTCTTATGTTTAATCAAAAATAACTATTTTATCCTTTTATTTTTTAAAATGCACTTTCATATCCTCATATTCTCAATCCATTAAATTTTGTTCCACTTCCATCTACTTTTTTTTTTACTTTTCTACATTAAATTATGATGAAATCACATAAATGATCCTAATTAAAAGACGAAACCATTTTTGTACTGAAATTAATTGTGCCTTATTCGCGCCGTTGTTGCCACTCTAGTAGCCAAAAAATTGAATTATCTTAAAATCTTTCAACCTAACCACCAAAATGACTGAAATCTTATGAGAAGTTCGATTTTTACATCCATTTTCCTTTTTAATCACCAATTACAATTGATATCAAGAATTTCTCAAATCTCAAAACCTTCAAATGCTAACTTCCCTTAGCTTCCTCAAAACTGAAATTTGTTGAGAAAAATTGTTCAAAAGACAATAAGTCAAATTTCGCTCGTATCTTAAATGGATGATCATTGAAAAATTCATTCGTTAGATTCAGATTGTCGTTTAACCTAGTAGATTCACTACCTAAAAGAGCTAACAATATACGCAATGTAGATGGATAAGAATCTTAACCGGAATCACTTCTCCCCTTTAGCCCGCTATCCATGATCGCTCCTTCTATTCGTCAAATCTCCACTGTTTCCAACAACTAAAACTGTCTTCGCTAGCCAAAGAGTAGAGAGTCGCCAACTATATTCATTACGTGTGGCATTTTTCTTGGGCTCTCGATCCATTTCTCTATGTTTTCTAGTGCCTTAACCACGAAAAGGGAAAGAGTGATAAAATCACACAACGTCGATTCAATTATGCTGTTTTCGGCGTTCTTCTTGGTAGGTCTAATAGTAATAAACAAATCAGTTTCAAAGAATAATTTTAATCCAATAGCCGATGTGTTTTCCAAATCAAATTTGAATCTTCCATTCTTTTCTACTACTAAAAGTTTAGCTAGCAGTGAAGATTATAACTTCTCCAGAAATTTGTGACACATATTTAACTTCTCTCTCTTTAGCCCAAACAATCTGCATTGACTTGTTTTTTAAAAGTATAAAAAATAAACAGAAGGGGCATATAGTGTAATGCACCGAGAATATGAGTGTACGGAAATGTATTTCAAAAAGTACAAGGGTAAAGTAGTTATTATTGACAAAACATAGAAGTAAAATTATAATTTTCCTTAAAAAATTTTACTAATGAGTTAAAAAAAATTGTTGGCTGCACCAAAATAGCAACTTTAAATCAATGCGTTGAAACTCTTTTTAAGTTTTTTAACCTATAATTATTTTTGGGTATATATGCAAAATAAAATAACAAAAGATAACAATTAACAATTTGTTTTTTGGAAGAATGATTAGCAATCTTGGAGTATTATCCGAGCTTATATATATATATATCGTATATTTCAATGTTGAATACATATTTTTGTTGGATATATTTTCCAAACTTTCAACGCTCATATATGTGTTATTTTCTGTAAAGCTATTTATTCATTTTTTTTACATAAGAAAAGAAAAAAAAAAAAAAACCAAGAGCTACACCATCTGAAATAAGTTATCCCAGAAAATAGATATCATGAATAATCTAAAGATGCAGAACAGGTGAAATTGATCCCAGGATTTGAAGCAAACTTCATAAGCCCGTCAACAAAAATTAGCTTTACCAAAAATATGAGATATAAACGTAATTAAAGAGAAATAATGCCTCACAAATTGAACAAATGGAGGAGATTATATCAGACCATTAGCCGATTTAACAGCAATACCATATGAACCCGCGTAAAACCACGATTATGGATAAGTTTAAGGCCTTCCAAGAGAGCCCATAGTTCAGCCCATAAAACCAAAGATCGACCAACACTCAATCTGAAACCAACGATACAATTGCCCAATGTGCGTCCGTCTTTAATGGCTTGTTGGATTACAATTGTTCACTGGATTAGACACTGTAACAACTCAAAGCCCAATAATATTCTTAAACTTGAGCCCAATAAATAGCCCAATTATGTTTGGAATGAAGTCCAAACCAATTTCTTTTGTTAAATTGGGCCCAACTTGCTGCTGCTCCAACTTCCACCCAAGGAATCGGATCTGGATGGTTCCATTTTCCTTGTGAAAAAAATCTGCATTTAAACTCCGTGTCGCTTTCACTCTGGCACGTGGGGCACGGAACTCACACACCGTGACGTCTTGTATGAAAACGACATAGTTGGAATCCAAACACTTTACACGTGCAGTTCTCTCCACCACACTCAACTAACCCATGGTGGGCCCAGTAAACCCATGAACTGAACGGTGTGGCCGTGTGGGTACCAAATCAACGCCAGATAATCGTCGCTAAACGTGTGGTCCAGTTTTTAAACGTACTCATCCTTTCCTTTGAACTTTCCGGCGTTTAGCTTCTTGCTTTTCCACTATGGCAAAAGGACTAACCACGTTTCATTCCACATAAGCAAACAAACAAAAACGCTCTTCTGGGTTATAACCCAAAGACGGGAATGATTTCTTGCATATCAACCTATCACTTGACCAAAGGCAATTATTGCATAAATAAAAATATTAATGTCTTTTCTCTGAAAAAAGACAAAATAATACTCTTTTCATCAAACATTTTTAATTTATCTTAATTCATAAAAATATAATATTCTCAATTATTGCGTTTTTATTTTAATTAAAGAGAGGAGATGAGAAATATTATCTTTATTCTGTAATATTTATCTTATTTAAAAGTTCACTGCTCCTAAGAAAATCATTAAATTTTTTATTTAAGTTATAATAAATTATAAAATAAATTGACAATATTATTAATTTAATACTAATTTTTTTAAAAAAATTATTAAATTGGATTAGTAATTATTGATCATATATAAAGGGTAAATATGAAAAAAAAATTATTATTCTGTAAAATCACAAATGTGATAATTATCGTGAAATAAACTATATTTTCTGACATGTATTAATTATTATAGAACGGAGTTAGTAGGATTAATTGATATAAACAAAACAGGATGATGTTCTGTTTCTAGAGACATTTTGCTACGTGGCAATTGTATGACACGCAAGCAGAAGAGTAACAGACTCCAATTTTCCTCCTTATGGTGGGTTCCACGTAAGCTTCACATTAGTTGCTTCCACCACACGATTAGATAAGTCAAACGGCATCTTCTCCAGCAAGCTGGCGCCAATGTCATTTCCGTCTAATTGCACTATAAATTCTCTCATATAAACCAAAATTAAGAAAACGCTTTTTTTCTAGCTTTGATTAGAGATATTATTTCTCAATAATATTTTTTAAAAATAACAAAAGCTTGTCTCGGAAGAGCTAGCATGGAAGTGGATCATGAAGTTTGCATGACTCCAAGACGCCGCGAGTCTCGGATACCGGCGACGTTGGCCTGTCCGCCGGCGCCAAAGAAGAAATCGGTTCGCTTCAAGGAAACGACGCCGCCAAACGATGGGTATTTTCAACCACCTGATCTCGAATCTATCTTCGTTATTGCACCAAGAACAAGAAGGGAAGGTTGTGCATGAATTATTTAAAGCTATAGGTTAATTTGCTTAACTGGCCTATAAATTGTTCTTGTATATATTTTTAATGTGAGATCTACGAACATTATAGATCAATTTTGTACTTGTGGAGTCAAAAAAGACCCATTAGCTACCTTGGGTTAGTCTATGGAGATAGAGTGATGACTGATGAGTGGTGATATGAGCAGATATGTATGGTTCTTTGTTTTGATATTGATGGAAAAGGGGGAAAAAAGTTTTTTTCCATTATATATGTATCTAGTTCTAATAAATTTAATAACGAGAGTTGACTGTAAATGGATATTTACAAAAAAATAAATATAAATGGTAAGTTTTTCAATGATGGATATATGCAGATTGAATAGATATCACATCCATATTAGGTAAGTATTTTGCATAATTTAATTATTATTACATAAACCTTTGTCCAGGATTGAAACAGGATGGTAAAATTTTCTCTCTTAACAAGTTTTAGGTGTAAAGTCTTTTTAAACAATTAAGATGAAGCGTTTTACCCATGTTCATAAACCTACCAAGTGCAAATCTGAATTAACGAAACAAAGAATTGCAGGATGTGGTACCTTACGGGCCACTAAGAAAACGTGCAACAAAGGGAGGTGGATTGGAGTGCATATTCTCAAATGTTAATTGTAATACAAATAATAATTGTATGCTATGGGATTAAACTTGCTGATTATAAACAAAATCATGGCCCAATGGATGAGCCTAATTTTCTAATCTAATGGCGAATAAAATAAGGAGAATGAAAGAATTTCAACAGAACAGATTTGTAAGGATTAGGGTTCTAGTTCAACAAAACAACACTTTTAAGTTTGAATCAATCTGTAGATTTTGTTAATTTGTAGAACTGCAAAGGGATGATGACAGTAAACTGGTTTGTGTTCATTAGCATTTGGCAGTCCAAGTCCAAGATAATGGCTGCTAAAGGGTAAGTTACCAGTTCCCTGAGATAAAGACAAGTTGAAGAAGCTACATTTTTCTCACCAATACTCCTCTGCACGAGTAATTTATTAACCAAAACTAAAATGTGGAAGCAAGTCTACCTAGGACTGAAGAGAGAGAGAGGGAGAGCGAGTTGAAAGTCTCCGAAGTACCATCCCAACTTTACTGCCTGATTTATTCCATATAATAACAATAGGATTATTCGATTTTTTAGAAACTGAATTTAGAAACAGAGCTGCCTTAATTCAATTAATGATATTACCTTATTATTAAATTAAAAAAAAAAAAAGCTTTGTTGCGCACAAGACTTTTTTTTCTTTTTTTCTTTTTTTTTTTTTTTCTGAAACTGGTTATGTAGA